AAAAAAATTCCACGGACGATGTTAATTTTGACATTATTAAATTTATGAATACACCAGCAATAAAGATTATCGTTTTAATTCGTTCTTTAATTTCGTTTAAGTGATCATGGCTATCCGATCCTTTAAACCGAAAAACATGATTGCTTCTGGGCAAAAATGGACAGGATTTTAAAACACGTACATGCTTATAATGCGTGCAAACGTGCGTAATTGATAGTGGTATATTTCAATTATTTATCAAGGTAATAAACAGAAGAAAAAAAGTATTTTTGGAAATGACGCTGTAGCTTGTGACAATCTGTCCCTTAAAGTGTGCTTTACAATAAGCAAGAGATAATTTGGTCTATTTTTCCCGCAATATTCCACCACCTACTACACTTTTTTACTGTCGATAGTTAGAAAAATTTCAAGGTTCTCCATAACCAAACATAGACAAAGCAACAAAAATGTTGCCAGAAGTCTCAATTGGATTGAGACCTTTTTTCAACCTTTCCCACCCTTTAAACTAGAAGGCATCAATCGTTCTTCGTGGCTTGCATTACCAGGATGGACGCATGACTATCTAGATTCACAATATGCTCTGTCGTAAGCAATGAGAAACAAAACATAAAATTACCGGAAAGTCTTATTTTAATAAATAAACCTTAAACTATATAATATAATCACATTATTTATTTATTTCATTTTTGTTTACAGTCTTATTTACTTTTTACTACGACCTCGTTAAAATAATGAAAGAAATGAGAAGGGAATGAAAAACAGGTGCCGTTTGTTACCTGTCCCCTCTGCAGTACTGCGATTTGTACTTAATAGGAGATTTAAAACGCATTCCATCTGTCTTGTTCGAATAAAAATGCTTATAGCCGCCTTTATCGATTGTCCTCGTTTAAATTTGGAATGCCGAATCGATTTTTCGTAGCGGTGCTTAATGAATTGGAAAACACCTACGAGTAATTTTGAATAATACTCCAGTACGCAATTTCACGGCTTCAGTGCTAAGCCTATTTGACTTTAAAATTCCACTTTCGTAAAGTTTCTAATTCGTTTATTATTAATCTATTCGAAGTAAATAATGAATAAATGATTTATTTTTATCTACAATATGTGTTCGTAGATACTATAAAAATTATATTCTTGTTTATTTATTTATTGCTTAGACGGGTGGGTGGACGAGCACACAATCCACCGCATGTTAAGTGGTTACCGGAGCCCATAGTCATCTACAACGTAAATGCCGCTACCTACGTTGAGATATGAGTTCTAAGGTCTCCGTTTTTACAGTACAATTGCTGCCCCACCCTTCAAACCGAAATGCATTACTGCTTCACGGCAGAAATAGGCAGGGTTGTGGTACCTACCCGTGCGGACTCACAAGACGTCCTACCACGTAAGATTCGCTGTAAATTTAAATTATCGCACGATTGTATCGTTAAGTATTAAAACAAGAACACTAATCTGATTAAAGGCATATTGTGAAGCCGTTTTATTTTATTTCTGCCCCGAAGCGTCCATGCATTCTGGGTTTGAGGGCGGAAAACGATTTTAATACAGCTGATATATCTAACTTATGTCTCAAAGAGACAGCAGCACTTAGACGATAGACTGGAAGTTAATTTACCCATACAAAGGAAAATTCACTTTATTGATGGCAAAGCTAAGGACGTTATTGTTAATAATATGTATTTGTATTAACGTAAGTTGATAATCATATTATCGGTACACTCTAGTGGTAGGCAGCGGCTTGGCTCTGCCCCTGGATTTGTTGTCATCCATTGGCGACGGTAACCACTCACCATCAGGTGGGCTTGTATCCTCATCTGCCTACAAAGGCAATAAAAAAATTGTTTAAAAATTAGTAACCTAAAAGAAATTGTAACGTTTATTATTATTTCGATAACAAAGCACTGGGGGACACCAATCATCTGCAGTACAAATAGAAACAAGCGCGTCATTTGTTTCCCATTGGCGTTCAATCGCGTGCGGCCATTTATAACGGAATAGATATAAATTGGCGGTTGCAGCAAATATGGATCGTTCGGTTAGTTCTGCACCGGCTCGATGCGCCCGCCGCATGTACTGTGGGTCCTATCAATTTTATACATGTGATTTCACTCAATTTTTGAAACTGACGGGCCTCAACCACCGGCCGCAGAGACGCATTACGCTAGAACCGAGGGAGAATATCACATGAATCATTCGCAAGAAGGATATGTATCGCCTGATTTCTGATTTAGGGTTTTGGTCAAATGACTTGGTGATTTAAAAACGATATATGTTTTGCACAATACACCGACACTTTTATTTCTATTGACGGATTGATCGAGTTCACGGCCAATTTTAACTTAAGTCCATAGATATCGCAACGGTAGTGCCGCCATACATCTTGAAATAAAACGTTGTAGTCTAAATTTGAATATAAGCGGGACTGACTAATTTCTTTTTCGAATTGTGACCGGTTCATTTCTGAATCTAATGCGTTAAGTGAAAATCTTCGTAAATTATTCTTTACTGAAACGTAGTAGCGATTTTTTTTTTTTTTTATATAAGCCGCCTTGAATGGAAGGGTATAAATAGTTAATTCATAAAATATATATTTCATTGATACGTCGTAATCTGTAACAAAAATACGCTTTTGTTTTTATATTCACCGATTCGATTTGACTGTACGAAATTTGCATTTTAGTTCAAATTATCAAAACGGTCTGCACGAACGCGATACGAAAGTTAATTAAACCGATTCAAAAAGGGAATTAAGATGGTTCAACAGTCAGCCACGTTAAAACACCGAACTATCTCTGTTTTGTCAGCGATCTGTGTAAGAGATGGGCCTGCGTGTAACAACACGGTCTCGTCCCCTCCGCGAAAGTATCAATGATATATTTTCAATTTTTGCCTTCCTATTAGTTTGAATTTCCCGAGTTATTGCGGGATTTATCTTTGCAGCCGACAATTTGGAGCGCTTGGAGAGGGGAGCACTCGCGTATTGCGTTTCACCAGAGAAACTGCTCTAATAATAGAACCTACATCGTAAACATTTTATTTGTCTTGTAGATAAACACAATACAACATTCACGTAGCTATAAACGTTTAATAAAGTAGGAGAAAACTTGATAGGGCCATAATTTTTATCTTCAGTAAATTCATCCTATGCATACTTTAAAGAGGGAATTTGAAAAAAAAATTGCGGTATATAAACTCTGTTAGGACCCCGATAAAACGTGTGAAGGGTCAAAACGACCGCCTATATATCATAAAATTACATGAAAGTCAAGAGAAGCAAGAGTGAGAGGTGTACGGGGTCGCGAAATTTATTGCGGTCTGTTTTAGATTTCCATTGCGTTAAAACCCATATTATTATTAAAGTTAAAAATTACTCCACAAAAACAGAGACAAATTTTTACAGACTAGATTTTCAACTAAAAATAGCTACTAGAAAGGCATTTGATCAACATCAAGTTCGTGAACCTTAAAATATAAATGCGCGTAATATGATTGATAAAGAAAAAGAAAAAAATTACAGACACAATTCTCAAGTAAAAATAGCCATTATAAAGGAATGTGATGAAAACGAAGTTCGTAAACCTGAAAATATATTTGCACGTAATGTGATTGATAAAGAAGAAGCGTCGAAGTCACTTGAAAATATTCTCGCGACGAGTGAAATCCCTGCTCGTCTGGCTGCGTCGTTTGGAGCCACTGTCCGTGAAATTCATAGCGGTTCCCGTTAGAAAACTACTGCTTTTATGAACCTATCTGAATGTAGATGCGTCTTTAACGACATCAGTCTCTTTACCTTATATTGAAAATTCTCATTTAATGGCGTTTATTGACGGGTTATCTCGTCAATTTTGCTTTATGATTTATCTGAATATACATAAGTATACTTGACAATGTTTTTTGTTCGAATTTAAGCCTAATGCTTATAAGTGTAGGACAAGAAGCTTAACTCTTAATAAGAAAACAGAAAACATTTTATCTTGACGTTGAACAATAAATCCGATTTACAAAAAAATATTTATCATAATGCCAACTAATGCTTTAGAAGAAAACGCAAAAAATAGAGAAGATTCTGATTTATTTCGTGGCAATAAAACTATGAGTCACATTTGTGACAAAACAATTCTGTTTGATAGGAATGTTCGAAACTGCAATTTCAATATTGGACGGCATTCTTGTCAATGATAATATTTCAACTATTAGGTTTCGACATTAAACATTCAATTTAGTTTTTAAATGTTTTTCGGTAGCACAATATAGTGGAACCTGTTGGAGATCTGTTGCACTGTTGGCTAGTCTCCAAGTCACATATAGGGATCAGTTGAAGTAGTCTTTAGATAATGGCCGGCTTTAGTCACATGTGCCTGGAGCGAAATAGCCTAGTTAGACGATGATAATATTTCCGTGAAAATTTTATTGGTATACTGCAGAATGAGATATCAACGATTTAACGTTTTTATAAGTAAACATTAAATTTTTAAATCTTTGAAAAATTAGCTAGGTGTCGTGCGTGTCAATCGGGTTCATCCAGTTTTTTGGTTTGAAGAGAGGAGGCCTCTGTTATAAATATGTCGACAAATGTCGACTTTATACCTCAATTCAATTTCCTTCACGTTACTCATACTACGAGTATATATCAGGTCTATAGATAGGTTTATCGGGGCGGTACATAAGAGTCACGATATAATTATGTAAATTTAGCTTTTACTGAAAATCGTCACTAACTGAATCTATATATATATAAATGAATTGCTGTTCGTTAGTCTCGCTAAAACTCGAGAACGGATGGACCGATTTGGCTAATTTTGATGTTGAATTATTCGTGGAAGTCCAGGGAAGGTTTAAAAGGTGAGAAAATATAAAAAAAGCTCGGAAATATATAAAAATAAATAATTTTGTTTTTCCTTTGATGTGTCCCCTTGATGTGTCTTTTATTTATCGATTGAGGCACTAAGAAGTCTGCCGGGTCAGATAGTATTTTAATAAAATTTACTACTACTTACATATAAGACCCAATCCTTAGGGCTGTGAGCATTGGTACCGCATACATACAGGCGTGATCCGTCGCCCATAGGTTGAATTACGCGGATGTGGTTTCGACAGTCGAAATGCTGAAAAAAATTAAAAGAATGAATCGAGATATTACAAAACAAATATAGAAAGTTTTTCTTCTCGGATTGGAAGTAATGATTAATTTTCAAGCTATGTAATTCTAAAAGTAAATATAATTCTTTCAATATGTTTTTACATCTAATCCCATAGGTCTCATATTTTCTAAGAAAATACGTATTTAACGTGTGTTGCCTAACAACTTCCATTATGAAAAAATAACATCACTACATAGTACAAAACAAAGTCGCTTTCTGTGTCCCTATATCTGTCTGTCCCTATGTATGCTTCAATCTTTAAAACTACGCAACGGATTTTGATGCGGCTTTTTTTAATTGATAGAGTGATTGAAGAGGAAGGTTTATATGTATAATAACACCATTAAATAGTGGAAAAATCAATAATAAATTACAGTTTCCGAAGCGAAGCGAGGGCGGGTCGCTAGATGTGTAATAAAATTAAATCCTAAAAACTTATAAATTGGCATCATCACGTCTGGACCCATAAATGCACTTGGGTATGATAATCCGGTATAGCATACAATTGACACTTCGATCTCATGTCACGGTATTCACTTTGTGGTATTTTTGGTTCCAAAATTGCCGCAGTACATAATATAGTCGTTTGTCAAAAGCAATGGTGACTTTGACCGCACTTCTTATAGTTAACGGCGGGACTTATATCTAATAATAATACACTATAATATGAAGAACAATTTGATAAGATCAAGTCCTTTTTTTCAATTTATTTTCAAAATGTGAAAGGTGTTTACGATAAAAGGATTAGTCGAGTATTTACAGCTAATCTATTGTTATTAAGCTGTCGTCAACACGATGTAAGAAAGATTAAGTTTCCAGTCAACAATGAAATACAGGAAAATGATTAATGAAAAATATAATTATTGTTTTGAATTTTGTTTACACGTTACACACAAATAGTACTACTTTTATCAGCCGCCTATGACCAAAAAAACTGTAAACTCTACGTCGAAAATATCATACAGCCATTTTTTTTTTGGAAATCGATCGATTTTGCTTCAAAATGTCCATAATAAAACGTAAGAAAAAATTAAGCAAATCTAATAAATATTACGTTTGGGGTTGTCGAACCACCTAGAGTGGTGCGGATTTTAAGATTATTAGACAATTGAACTCGGTGGTAGAGAAGAGTACGGCACTTCTAAGGATAGTAGTAGCTACCGTCGTTTTTATGGTAGATGTCAGTAGTGTCAGGGGCACAATAAAACCAATGCCTTTTTTTTATTGCCGTATGGACAGACGAGCATACGGCCCACCTGATGGTGAGTGGTAACCGTCGCTCATGGACGTCAGCAATGCCAGGGGCAGAGCCAAGCCGCTGCCTACCGTTTAATACTCTCCCCAAGCTTCGTTGCCTATCGCAAATGCCTCCAGCTAAAAATTATTGTAACCAAAGTTTATTGATCATAATCCTGCACGGACGTCTATCCCTATATCCCTATCCAACTTATTTCTACCGCAAAATATTCGCGCGTTTTGGTTCGAAGCATAAAATAGACGTGTGACTTTACTATTAAGAATTTCACTTTATGTCTTAAAGCTGGGTGGTTGCTTTCACTTTGTGAAGAGTGTGGGCTTCGCTAACTACTTAAAATTTATAGAACAGATGGTTCTAGCAAGCTCCCTCGCAAGGGTCAAACACTCCGCAGTGCAATAGAGCAGCCTCACCCTGGGGGAACCGCCTGCATGATCACGGTATCCCTACGCCAGGTAAGTATGATTTAGCAAGAGAAATACGAGAACGTCTATCAACTGTGTAACATCTCGTCACCGCGATTCAGGAATTGTTGAATTTACGTGCAGCGACATCGGTTGATAACAAACTGAATAAAAATAATTGTAAATCATCTTTTATAGTATGAGGTAGCGCCCTCTGTGAATTGATATTTTAACTTCACGTATAATGAGTTCTATCTCATTCTCTCGCCGGCTGAATCCTATACATTTAGGTGTTTGTGTCTCTATGGACTTATTTTTTCGTTTCGTTTCATTTCGTTTCATCGAGTTTTAAATCACAACGATTCCAAAGAAGTTTCACTTCAAAAATCCCAAAATATTCGTTGTGCGCTCATTGTTCTGCGCTGGAAATTTCGTTCACGAGTAGACAGATATAGGAGCACTCGAGGCAAAATTCATTGGAATAATAGTAATATGCGAAAGTACACTGATGTGTATGAGTGTTCGCATGCTGTGATTATGCAAATATGCGCTCGGCATAAATATTAAACGGGACATTAATATTCCGAATGACAGAAATATGCATTGCTCGTTTCACCGGGTACGGCACTGTTGGTCCGTTGCAGTTCATTAAGGTTTCATTTGAAAAATCGGATATATTAAACTATTCATTATCGTTTTGTGCATTTGATTGTGATTATAACACGAATTATAAAAAAAAAATATCAGAACAAATTATCTATTCATATTGAGGTTCTGACATTAGTAGTTATCAGTATAAAATCTATACTAATATATAAATCTACATTAGTTTTTACGGATGTTGCGTTATAACTACTGAACCATGCACCCGATTGACTTGCAACTTGATATCCATGTAGAAAATACATGTACTTAATGGATAGGCTAATATTTATATGAGTGTTGGACTCCCTAATAATAATGAGAATAAGTAATAGCGTTAATTTTAAATACCCAGAGAAGCGGGCGAGTACGGCTAGCAGTCTTATAAAAAAGTCTAGAAAGACTGAAATGCTTTTATAAGGCTGTATTCATAGAAGTAACACAGAAATGTCACTTCTATGTTATGTCTAACTATAGAATTATCAATGTTGCAGCCAACAGTCGTTGGACAGTAACGAGTGAAGTGTATTCGCGAACAGAAATAGACTTGTTCTTACTCAAAGAGAATAAATAAATGACCGATGGCCAATAGAGAAACTGATTAAGCAATGGATAATAAAATATGCTATTATTAAAACTCATTTCAAATGTAGCGCTTATATTTTATTGAGACAATTTTAGGTTTATCAGCAATTTATAACAATCACAAAAGCAGTTACGACCATAAAACAGCGTAAAGTGGTTTATTAGCTGATCTATTGTCCTTTGAGTGGAAAAAAATAGGCAGATAGTTTAAGAAATCTTGTAGCTCGTCCAAATGAGTATACAAATGGGCACGTGCGTACAAACAATTAACCGAGTGCTTTGTTTCCCAATAAAAACTTTTCTTCTTGTTTCTTTGGGCCGTGCCCGCTGAGGTAACTTCGCGAGATTGTTCTAAAGTAATTAACGGATTAATATACTCTTAATGCTCAGCCGTCGCACTGACGCGAACAGAAAACTGTTTTGCACTCAGAAACAATCAGAATTAAGCAGAACAATCGAGCTCACGTCTAAGTTTCTTTTAACGGCACTTAGCTGGCAGCTCTCGCATAACTTCGCTGGGAACTAATGCCTTCGATTGGACCATTTCGTTAATTATTCGCCACTTTGTACGTAAGTAGATTTACGGCCCGCTCTCGCATTTTTATGCCTTGAATACTTTTTTTCTTTTCACAATGGTTTTTATTACGGATTTTAAAACGTCGATTTGCATTCTTAATGCACCATGTTTTATTGCTTGTTGAGTAAAGAATCTTAGGGTAATGGAAATTAAGTTTCATGCATTACTTACTGATAAACTTAAATTAAATCATTAAAATATAGTAGGTCGATTTTCTCAAGTTCTAATTTTAAAAATCCGAGTAAGTCACGATTAGTTTAAGTGGAATTTCCTCAATAGCACTACCGAGAGTGAGGGACTTAAAACAACAAACCAACTGTCGGGCCGGTAGCCGACTTACGGAATTTGCCGATGGCATTTTTCCAGCCTTTTTCGTGTAACGACACCGTGTTTAGAGAAAAGAAAACTCGCCGACAGCGAGAAACTTTGATTATAGCTTTCATGAGTGGCCGTTCTACCCACGATCGAGGTGATAGACTTGGGTATATATCTTTTTTATAGCCCTCTTTGATACTAATAAAACAAATTTACTTTTTTCTATACGGGAAGAGTTGGAGTGGGTCGCATGTGGTCTGGAATGGTTCTTTCGGTGCTATTGCAAAACTTTGACCTTTTATTTGTAGGGTTTATACGGGTTGCTTGTTGGATACTGGCTTGCGGCGTAAACTTGTCGATTTACTGTTTCACTTACTACTCTCTGTTGCTAACACCTTTTCGAATCATGAGAGGTTTTACAGCTCGCTTGAAGACTTTATTCATTTCACATTAGGTATTCCGTTTTACATTTCGACTTTACGACTTTCTTATTAGATATAAACGCGCTTACTGAGTCGACAGATATATAAATGAATTCTGAAGCGACGTTTGTTACATCATAATGCAAAGTCAACGGTTTTATTACGCACATTCACATACGGAATGTTAAAAGAAAAACGACGCGTAATAAAATCCAGAAAATTGTATTGAGATATCAACGAAACAGAAAAATAAAGGGAATCGTTCGAGTGTAGGGTAACATTTCTCGTAGAGTGGAACATTATCGAATTAGCTGATGACGTATCGAGGCGACTCGTAATAATCGTCGTTTTCCGTCTCCGGGACCACCTCAGGCCGCCAAGAAATAAAACAAATATTGCTTTTACGTAGGGATTGTAAATCAAAATTAACTGCCTTAATATAGCGAGGCAAAGCGTGGCTGTAAGCCCTCCCGCTATGAAATATGCTCGCCGTCCGCCGCTCACATTTAAAAATGGGATTAACCCTTGATAGAAATAGTGGTAGTTTTATTTTAGCTCTGAGCAATTTTGAAATAAAATGAAAATTAAAAATTCAATTGCAGTCTATGTCTTTAAATACAGATATTAAATATTATAATTGTTTCCTTACCTCTGACTTTCCTTTGGATACGCATTGGGCCACGTTGCTAGGCTCTAAGTTAATTGAATCTCTCTGTAACAAGAAATAGGATTGCATTAATTTATTTATAATATAAAAGTTACCAATGTTCTATTGTAAAATAGCTGGACTCATAATAATAATAATAAATAAATAAATAAAAAAAATAATACATAAGGCCAACCAATCAAATTATGCTTACTAATAGAAATAATAGAAAAAAGTATGAAACTAAAATCTTGAAATTAGAAACAAACGGCCTTATACGCGTACCCATGACTTCGACTTTTAAACATTTTTATTTGGAATTGGTTTTAATGTTTTAAAAATATTTTTAGGATATTCTTATGGTTAGTTTTCTTTAACTTATTGAGTTTTAACTTATAGTCTTTTCGGCTTAGGGAGAACTAAAGCTACTGTTATTTATTCGTACAGACGAATTCAAATTGAAACAATTTTCTCAAAGTAGGTCTAGTCTCTAATGTCAAGATATTTATATTATTTACTAAATAAGAACTAAGTTAACTGCTTAGTTATTATTTTATAATTAACTTACTTCGCAATGCGACGCACTAATGTTATTCATATTCAGCCGATATAACCGATCCCTGTAACAAAAACTTTCGTTAGTAAAACATAAAGTTTCAAAACTGTTTAACTTAGCCTATTCGAATGGAAATTGTGAGTAGAATCGACTGCGGGCAAAACGAATACTTAACAAAGTTGAAGCTGCTATAACATTTATAGAAGAATCGTTTTATTGGTAGAAATTGTGGTGGGCTATTTCCCGAACAGAATTAGCTGGCTTCGTGACACACACGATTGACCTATATCACCTCTTTTTATTGAATCACCAGCGCGATTTGACCCTTTAGGATCTATCACAGCTTTGTGCTTCAGACATTCGAGAGATTGAAACTATCACGCACGGAAGATCTTAGGAAACTGGTTAATAGTCGGGTATAGGAGGTAAAACTGATACAACGCCGGTCGTACTCGTAAAATTCCCATTCGTTTTGGATCGGGCCAATTGGTTTTTGTTTCTCGATATTTTACGATTGATTTTGTTGAAAACTAAATCTTGTTATTGTGTATCGTATAAAATTGTAAAAATTAAGCTTAGTTTATTTTAGTGTATTCTACAATAGCTGTTATAGAGAAGCACTGGGTCAGAACGTAAATGGCGCTTGAAGACAGTGGCTTGGAACGGTAGGCAGTGGCTTTTAACGGTGGGAAACATCTTGACTCATCCCCTGGTATTGCTGACATCTATGAGCGACGTTAACCACTAACCATCCGTATTCTCGTCTGCCTCCAAGGCCATTAAAATGAAAGGCGGAGTGAAGGTCGAAGCTTCAATCGCATTGGAAAAACTATGATGTCTTCCTTTGAATCAGAGTTTCATTGCAGAAGAAACAGGCAGTGGATAGTGACGACTAAGTGTCGATTTGTAATTTGCTGGTAGGATACATATGCAAGCATTTGCTACTATGGAGGTTATTGAAAAGTAGGATACGCAGTACTATTTTGAGCCAGAACCAAGCCAGGATGTATGTATTGAAGTCGTCGTGGCCTAAAGGATAAGACGTCCGGTGCGTTCCTATATAGCGATGCAACGGTGTTCGAATCCCACAGGCGGGTACCAATTTTTCTAATGAAATACGTACATAACCATTGCTCACGCTTGACTTCCACGGTGAAGGAATAACATCGTGTAATAAAAATCAACCCCGAAATAATTATAATTTGCGTAATTACTGGTGGTAGGACCTCTTGTGAGTCCGCACGGGTGGGTACCACCGCCCGCCTGTTTCTGCCGTGAAGCAGTGATGCGTTTCGGTTTGAAGCCGTTGTAACTATACTTGAGACCTTAGAACTTATATCTCAAGGTGTGTGGCGTATTTGTGGTGGATGTCTATGGGTTCCAGTAACCACTTAACACCAGGTGGGCTGTGAGATCGTCAACACATCTAGGCAATAAAAAAAAAATGTAGTGGCTTGGTACTTATGCCGCTGGAAATACCAATCATACGGTAGTCACTTATCAAGTAGGCGGTAACTCTGTCTACTATTGTTAGCCACAAAAAGAGGGACGGTTATCATGCCGGGAAGAATTAGGTAAGAAAATAAGATGACGATAGTAAGTGACATTAAATGTGAGTTACATCCAGCCATTGTTTTTATATTAGGTACTCATTCAAAGGCCTAGTGATGGATGCACGATCAGTACCGGAAACAAACATATTTGGTATAGAAACTAAAGTATTAGTATATTTTGAAAATATACTGGGTCCCATCAAATCGAGACCATGCGATACAGTAGTACGACGACTAACCAATGATCATTTATCATCATCATTCTCCTGCCCTTTTCCCAATCATCTGGGGTCGGCGCAACATGTATTCTCATTCCATACTCCTCTATCATATACCATTTCTTCACTCAGTCCCCTCTTACACATATCGTCTTTCACGCAGTCCATCCATTTCTTCTTAGCTCTACCTTTACCTCTATATCCTTCTTGATCCTCATTGATCCTTTAGTTCACGTAATGACCAATGATCCTTTAGTCATGTAAAAATATGTTTTCAAATAAGTTATACTCACATAGCGCCAACATAGAGTGCATCCCTTTTCGAGTCAACAAAGAAGGTCCTGTAGTATAAGGCGCCACAGGAAAATTCCCGAACATGATCTGTAAAGAAGGAAATTGCCTTTAGATCGATTGGTTTTTGTACATTTAAATCTCAGTTCACTTGAAATTTGCTTAATCTTAATCGAGCTGTATCAAATATCACATATTTAAAGTTATATCACCGTATTTTTATAGCAATAACGAAAAATAAATTTCTGTAATATTGATCACATATTATTTATTATCTTCTTCCAAATCAGAACGCATGATCGATTTACAGAAGAATTGTGGTAGCCACCCGGACGAACAATAACATCTTGCTACCAGTAAATTCTGGTAGGCGATCTCAAATATTGTCTCAAATGATATCATTTGCTCATTCTTCGTTAAAATATTTTAGTTTTTGTTAGGTATGTAAGCATCGGCGGCTGCGTCCGCCGTCAATATAATAAAGTAGTGCGTAAACAACCGGCTTTGTCATTACACGCGTCCTCGGACACACTACTGGCGACGAGCTTTACGTATACCCACACGTGACGGAAAAAAAATGTTCGGGACGTCTTCTTTAAGTGTTTTGTCGAGTTTTGATCATCAAAATCAAGANGCTGACCAAGATCAAATTACTGCCACTATAAGCCCACAATCAGCAGAGCCCGTAACTCCCACCAGCTGCTCACCTTCCAGTGGAAGAAATAGCCCACAGTTTAGTACGCCACAGCCAATATCACCGACACTAGATAAGCCGGCTCCCGGCCGACCACGCCGGAATAAGCCACCCATTGATTTCAGGAAGTTCTTTTAGGATAAGGGGGATATTTGGGAGGGAGAAATTGTTAGGTATGTAAGCATCGGCGGCTGCGTCCGCCGTCAATATAATAAAGTAGTGCGTAAACAACCGGCTTTGTCATTACACGCGTCCTCGGACACACTAGTTTTCTTAAGCGATATTTTACGAAAAGGAAAAATACGCTGGGTCCGATAATTGGGCAGCCAGCCATTAATGCAATTTAAAAAAAAAAACTTGCATAGATGGGTGATCCGCCTGGTCTTAAGTGGTTACCGAAGCCCATAGACATCTACAACGTAAATGACGCCATCCACCTTGAGATATGAGTTCTAAGGTCTCAGTATAGTTACAACGGCTGCTTTACCCTTCAAACCAAAACGTATTACTGCTTCACGGCAGAAATAGGCAGGATGGTGGTATCTACCTGTGCGGGCTCACAAGATGTCCTACCACCAGTAGTTACGCAAATTATAATTTTTGCGGATGAACACTAAAAAAAGAAATACCTAGATTCCGAATTCGCAATCTTTATAAAAACACCATTAACATTCTTCAGAACACGACGTTCATAAAAGGCAAAGCTTAGTGAAGCGTCGAACTGCGACTGTTCACGTGGAATTCTTTTCATGCTGTTTAACTGTGAATATTTTTACAGTGAAGCAAACGTCAGTTGCGTCTATCAATTCTTGGAATACATTTTCAAGATGTCAGGCTTCACTGTCTACATGTAGGCTTGATCCGCAGACAAAAATGAAAATGTGCCACACATCTCATATTAATCGAAGTTCGTACGTTTTAGTTGAATATTTTAGTATTACATGCGAACAAAAAATGTTTGAGATCCACAAATGAAATTACAAATGAATTTACTTCTAAGGTTCCAAGTCTAAGTAAGTCGAAGAAGACAACATGTAAAAAAGTTTCCAGGATTCAATAAAACTATGAAACTAACTCTCAATAAACTATAGTAAATAATTCAATAAAACTATGTACATATACAAAGATATAAATTTGACACCAGAATATCTCGACACATATCACTGTCGAATAAGAATAACTTTTAAAACGAATAGTGCCATCGCATCGGACGTTGTCTACGAATAGAATATATTTGAATTCGCAAGACCAAAATGGAGTTTGAATAGGTAAAACGACATCAGAGGCAGAGAATAGGCAGGTGCCGCGTTGTCGAATCAGGTATTGCTTGCAGACGACGTCGCCTCTGGGGCGTTTGCAACCTTGTAACGCGAAATTTCTGATACTCACTTCAATGTTGTTTAATAATAAAAGTTCTCTTACTCATGACTTGTGGAGTGACACACTTATGCTATTTTTTTTAAGCTATTGCATAGATTTTATCGCGTGCTTTGAGCGCGGCGACCGAATCAAGAAATTCCGTAACGAAAACTACCTAACACCTCTCCGCCTACCATTGCGCTTGTGTAGTGTTTGTGAATAAGCGCGCGGCGTGACGTCGCACTGCATGCGCATCATGAAAATTCTGCCCATCTCTCTCTCTTGCGCGTTCTAGCTTATGAGTGTGAAGGGGACAGTTAATGTGTATAAATATAGCGTGGTCTTATTTTATTATTGTTTTAATATTAAATTATTATTGTCTAATTATAATTGCATAAGTTGATAAAAAATGCTAAGCAATAGCTTTACCGTGACAGTCCTCAAGTGCCACACGTGTTTTTTTATATGTATGATTTCAATATGGAATCTGTAACTTAATATAATCGTGTGATGTCAAAAAAACATCAACAAATGTTACCTGATATAAGTGACAGTATATAAACATGTTAGAAACAATGTTAGATCTGCATTGCATGCTATCGTACACGTAGCATCATATATTAATCCATAACCCGAGAGATCCTTAGAATACAAATATTAGAAAAAATAAGCAAGACACATAACAGTAAAGATGGTATTAACAGCGACTGAGCCCTGAATACACATTGAGGAATTACTTTAATAGGACAAGACACTGGGTGACGCGTGAACATGCTATTCCAAGATGTATGTAATTTTCGAGAAATTTACTTATTAAAATTGAATGTGCTTTCCTATACTTATTTACTCTATTATTTGTTTTTTTTTTTAATTACTATATTTTGTGTTAAACTCTAGCTATAAATATAAAAATGAATTGCTGTTCGTTAGTCTCGCTAAACCTCGAGAACGGCTGGACCGATTTGGCTAATTTAGGTCCTGAATTATTTGTGGGAGTCCAGAGAAGGTTTAAAAGGTAGATAAATGTGAAAACGCTCGGAATTAAATAAAAATAACAAATTTGTTTTTCCTTTAATGTGTCCCCCGTCGGACGGATTCCTTTTATTTGTTTTATGTTTTTTTTTAATACAAAAGTTTAGGTCTTTTATTTATCGATTGAGGCACTACGAAGTCTGCCGGGTCAGCTAGTAAGAAATAAGAAATTGCTTGAAGCAAAAATAGTTTCCTTGGATATTTTTCAGGTACTTTAGAAGTGCATAATTTATGCACTCAACGCTCCTCACGTCAGAACCGCACATTCAGTACCGATGCATTTTTGATCTTCTGTGTACAGCTTTAGCCGCTTAGAGTTACGAAAAAGGAAAACTATTGCCTAAAATCGTCTTTCTATTTGCATCAGTTTTAAGAATGGGATTGGGTTGTAAGTTTGCAAGTAAAAGTGGTGTTCTGAAATATTTCATTCGGTAAACTTGACCGGATATAAAAGCAACATGAAAAATATACCCGAAGTAAGTGGTCAAAAATATAATTGCCAGTAAAATTGCGACTGCTTGACGTAAGTAGTGAGCGAAACCATAATTAGTAAGGGCCGAGCCGTATCAAGATCTAAATTAGCCAGCACGCGACTCGTTATAGTGGTAACACGACAAAATAACTGTATCTGATTGTAATATTCTCTTGTTCCTTGATTATACTTTATTTTATTGAACACTAAATTTTCTGTCAATTTATTTATTCGTTTAAAATGTCAAGCCATTATTGTCTTCTGTTGCGTGAACAGAGTATCAGCAAGAATACTATGAAAACATTTCCAACTTTTCTACGTTGAAATTATATTCATTTTCCGATTTGTTTTATTGCTGCGGCACGAGATTAGAGTTGACTAGTTTCTGTATTTTCGTTTGCTATTTTTTGTGGTGAGCTCGACTTTCCATTAATTGTTTTATCGCATGAGTTACGATGAACTAGGCTGGCTATAGGTGAGTGTAAAGGCCAGTCCCTCACAGCGGGAGTTTTCGGAGGAAACTTATTATTACATTAGGGTAGCGTTCGTTAAGGAGATGCTATCGATAAAAATTTGGTCAAGGATGCTTTCTGTTTTGTGTTTGTGTAGGAAAGTAACTTATGTTTGTGTTGTTAACCTACAATACTCTGATTTTATTGCGCCATTAAACACAATTTTTCATCAGTAAATAAAATAAATCTGAACATTTAAAAAATAAAGTAAAATTCACGTGTGTGTTTTCGTTAAATCGTGACAATACGTAATACGATAGAACTGGGAACGGTAAGCGAGTACACGGTCGTTTCGTTTGATGGATTACATAGCGATTACTGTGGCAGGAAATCCGCGTGTTTTTCATTTGGCAATTGTACCGATATCAAAACATCGTTATACACAGCGCCGATTAGATTAACGGCACACAATTGGCTTACATGAAAACTTTGCTTCATTACTTTTATGTTGTGCGTATTCCGTGGATTGTATTAATTCGGAACGCGGTCAGTGTTTGTTTCGTGACATTATCGCTCCTTGTCTTTACAACGAGAATTAAATATTAAATATTTTATATGTAAATTTGTGATGTTTAAAAAAGTAATATAAATGCGCAAGTCACGCAAACTTTATAATCAAAGTAATTAACACAATTTAGTTTTATGTCCAAATTATCATCGAGACTGTACAATTATTGAGAATTATTGTATTTATTTATTACTGTTGATAGTTTGAGCAGCTGAACAGTTAAGGAATTTGACCGAACACCGAAGTCCGTAGATATCACAACGTGAATGCTGCCATCACATACATGAGAGGATATCTCAATCGCAGAATAGTTGCAGTTAATAGCAGAAAATAGGCAGGGTGATGACACCTTTCCGTGCGCCTCACTAAAGGTAGGTTCAAATATATACAAGGGCCTTGACATTTTTGGAAACACACATCCAGAACTAGAACAGTATACGCACACCCTGTATATGTTTAACAAAAACTCTGATTTCATATCAAACCACATGACACAATAGTCTGCTTAAAATA